ACACACACACAGACACACACACAGACACACACTCTCACAGACACACACACAGACACACACACAGACACAGACACACACACACACAGGCACACACACACATACACAGACACAGACACACAGGCATACACACACACTCTCACAGACACAGACACACAGACACACACACACACACACATGCACAGACGCACAGACACACACAGGCACACACACACTCACAGACAGACACACACACAGACACACACACAGGCACACACACACATGCACAGACACGCACAGACACGCACAGACACACACAGAGACACACACACGCACAGACACACGCGCACACACACACACGTGGGATTGGCAGCCTCCGAGTAGCTTAAAAAACCCATAATATTAAAATATTAAAATAATTGCACGGCTGACACGTCTCCCTGCTGGAAATGTCAGCCTGATCTTCAAGCACCTCTTAACCTTCCCATCTCTGCATAAAATTGCAGGAAGGGGGGGGGGAGGGTTTGCAAATCCTCTGCAAGGCCTGGGGTGGGAGGCAGGAGATGATGCTCTTCAGATTCACGGTGGAGAGGGAGAAAAAATAACAGAGGAAAATCGATTTTCTATTACATTTTTGCTTAAAGTATCAAGTTTAAAAATAAACTTTCTGGAAGTTGAAGATCTGTTCTAAAGGCCCAGAAGCTGCCATCTTTCTCCATCAGTCCAAAGGGGCTGGGACACTGGCTGGTGTTTCTCAGGCTGTTCCAGCCAGTGAGGAAGGTCTGATTAAATGCCCATTAAATCAAGGGACCCCCTTGAGTGGGGGCAGGGTCTGGGCCTTTGCTTGTTGAAGACCCCAACCACATTGGTGATGCCTTTAGCTACCCAAACCCCAACTCCTTTTTTTTTAACCATCTTACAACAACTTTGGGCTGCAGCCAGGGAGGATCTTTGGCAAGACCACCCTGTCTGCCCCTCGTGCCCTGATTTGTGCTGATTATTGATGCTTCACAGCCAAGGCAGCTGCAGGAGACAATGTTTCAGCAGGAGCAAAATGTGAGGCAGGTTTGCTTTGCTCAGCCTTTATTAACTCTTGGCCAAGCTCTTCTTTCTCCCCCAGCCCTTTGGTCTCAGGATGGAGGGGGTTTGAAGAGTGGGGGGGGGGATGGCAAAGGAGAGGGTTTTATAGAGGGACCATATAAATCTTGGTGCAATTTCATCTTTGCAGCCCTGGCACATCTCCTAGGCCAGCAGCAAGCCCTGCTGAATCAAGTTTGTATCTAATTGCCTTGAAATTCACTTAAACTGATTAAATACTCCAGTGATTTTATTGCAATTTAGCCTCATTGAGCCATTGGAAGAGCACCTGAACAGCAGCTGGGGCTAGAAGATGGCCAACATGAGCCCCCAGCCAAGACCTGCCTTCAACCTGCTTCTTTCCTTTACCTCTTCCAACCCTCACGGACCAACCCCTCCTCTCCCTCCCTTCCCGAGACCCCCCACATTAAGCAGGACTTTTTAAACTCAATTTTTTTTTGGCAGTTACTCCTTTCCAAAGGGCCTCCATGATGTGACTACATGCTGCTGGTTTTGGGCAGAGGACATCTGAGTTTGTTGCCCATCTTGGGTCAAACTCCATGTTTGCGTCCTCCCAAGGTCCGGTGAGCTCAGCGTGGGGGAAAAGATCAAACACAGCAACTGAATCTTTGGAAGAAAACTCTATTTGGCCTTAAAGGAGAAGTTTTTAAAGGTTGGACCTTGCTCTGCCATCTGCTTGAGGCCTTCAGCTTAGTTAACTAAAGGTAAAGTTAAGCTAAAGGTAACTCCTTGGTGGTGGTGGCAGCTGCTCACACCCAAGTCCCCCTGGGCTCATTATCAGATCTTTGCTCTGGCAAACAGCTGGAGCTAGATGTGAAGGTCTCCTGAGGAGGCTTTGCAGAAGGGATTCCTCCTGTTGGGGGAAGAGGTGAAGAAACCAGATTCCAAAGTAGCTCCAGTGATGCTGAGTCAAAGAGTGGATGGAGGGAGAAGCTGCTCTGGGCATGGCAGGTCTGGATGCTGGAGCTGGGATGTGCCCTGCTAAGCTGAGCTGGGCTAAGCTGCCTAGTTTAGCCCAAATTCCTGGAAAAGCATGTGGGAACTCAGCATATTTCTTAGTATCTGCAGAACACTGGAACCATCATGAGAGGTTTTAGTTTGCCATCAGAGGGATTTTGACACTGGGATGTTTGGAGTGAGCGCAGAGGGGGGAGCGGGCTTGAATTGTTGTGCTCGGAGGTGAAAGCAGCAGCTCAGCACCTGAACTGGAGGTGTGACCAGTGGGAAGGGGAGCAAACCCTCAGGACTCATCTTCTGGAAAGAGATAACAGATGTTACAAATCCCCTTTAAAAAGTTGTATATTATTATAATTAAGTTAATAAGCAAAACATGCAGTTTATTACACCCACTACTAGGTCACCACTTTGCAGGGCAGTCAATACTTTCTAGGGAACCTTCCAGGTCCAGCTTTAGGAGCATCCAACATCTCCCTCCTGGCCAGGGCCGGCAGACCCTTAGGGCATGGGACAGCCCTAACCCTCAGAGACTTTGTAAAACTCTCTTAAAACACCTCCTTGCCTCCTCCTCATCTAATTTCAGCACCTTTCTGGCTCTGAGACTCTCTCTTATCTCTTTTCCCAGACCTTCTTGGTGCTCTCGTTGCAGAAGGGCAGCTGGGCTGTGCCCAACACATTTGTACCCCAGGAACCCACAGGGACCCTTCTCCAAATTCTCTTTGGGCTGTGCACAGCCACACCAGCCTCACACACTCACACTGCATTGAACCAGAAGGGGCAGAGGAACCAAATCTCTCTGTATTTTATTTTTCTACATTTATTTTTCCTGTGGACAGAAAAAATATATTAAAAAAAATAATTCTAGTTCATGCCCGAAGCACAGAAGTTTTTCATCAGTCTGTGGCTTAATGAAATACAGCAGCAATTCCCAGTTCTCTCCCCAGTGAGCCCCAGCAAACACTTGTTTGGTTTCTGCAGGAGCATCCAAGCCCCACAGATCCATCTTACATCATAAGCTTAGAGAAAATTCACAAATGTCTTCATAAAATGTTAACTTTGGGCTGCAACAAACTGGGCTTGCAATTTAACAGCTTCAAAGCTTCTCCTCAGCTGACAAGCCACATCAGGGATGGAAGCTTCCACAGCACTTTCATGTTTATCCCTCCCAGGATCCTGCCCACCCGGCTGGCAAGGGAGCTGTCGGGAACCATCAGAATAAGGATGTTCTGCTAAATCAGAGTGGGTCTGGAAAGGGGACAGATTCCAGTGCTGATGCAGAGTTGAGGAAAATGTGAAAATACTTCACTTGATCCTCAAGGAGCAGAGCCCTTCTCTGCAAGTGCTCAGGATCTATCAGGGGAACAGAAACCTTGTGCTGGAGGCAGAGATGAGGAAGCCATAGACCCAGACAGGGAAGCTGCAGCATGAACCCCAGAGGAAGAGAACGTCAGTTTAGGGGGGTCCTGGGGCAAAGGTTACTCATATTTCTGCAGGTTACTCTTATTCCTGCACATGGACAAACATTTGCAGGGGATCAAATCTCCTACCACAGCCCACCAACCCATCTGGTGGCTCTTCTCTTTGTCAGCTGGGTAAGGGACAGAGCCGTGTCTGGCCCTCATGCAGAGGGTTTGGGGTTTGCCCCCCAGGCTGGGCCTGGGGCAGGGTGTGTTTGTGTCTCTGAGCAGCTGCAGGAGCAGAAGTTGCTGAAGGACTGGAAAGGGCTGGTTTAATCAAATTCCCCACTCTTAGAACAAAAGGAAATGTTTCAGTCTGTTTTAACAGTACCATGACCCCTGGGTTTTAAGCAACGTCTCACCTGGCTGAGTCTCAGAAGTATCTTTGCTTCCTGGTCCTGCTGCACTGGGACAAAGTCTCTGAAGTCACTGGTCTGCAACTGCCTGAGCAGGATGATCTCCACAGCTCCCAGTGATCCCCACAGCCACACCCCAGCTCCAAGTGCTCCCTCCAATGACCCCTGCCAGTTCCCAGCAATCCCCACAACCATCCCCAGAGCTCCCAGTGATCACTTTAATGATCCCCCCCACAACCCACACCCCCCCACACCCCAGCTGCCAGTGATCCCCACAACAATCCTCACACCTCCCAGTAGTTCCCACAGCCATCATCCCAACTCCCAGTGATCCACCCCTGCCCCAGCTCCCAGTGATCCCAACACTCCAGACAGCTCCCCCCACCAACACAACCACCTCCCCTCCCATCCACACCCCCCTCCCCGGATGCCACGACACGGGACTCGACTCAAAACTCTCTCTCAGGAGAAAAGCAGGAGGGAAAAAAGAAAAGAGATCACTTTAATAACAGTCTGGGTTGAGATGTGTAGCAGGCTATGGAACAGAGGAGACGCCAATGTTTTATTTAGTAAAAAGGTCTGTATTCAGGTAGCAGAACACCTTACAGTGACTAACTCGGCAGGAGAGGTTAAAGTCAGCACAGCCCTAGATCGGTCTGGGGGAGAAGGATGGGGCAGACAGGGGGGAAACTGGGAGGGAGCAGCTTCAGACTCAAACCTTGGCTTCCAGTATAATGGATTCAGAAAAATATTGCATGAAAAGCCTCAGGGTTTTAGTTCTTTCATAGATGTATATTTACCAGTTTTCACAAAGACTGCAGGAATACGATTATAAACAATAAATTAGGACTTCATGTTGCTATCATTTGGCATAACACAATCAGGCAATTTTTCCTTTTTTAAATATAAGGCAACACAAGCCAACACATAATTTAATCCGTCTTTAGTCAAATTGCTTAACCTTGCTAAAGAGTTACCACTAAAGAACGGTTTATAGTACACTTAAAAAGAATTTAAATAATGACATTAAGTGTACTAAGGAGTCAGAAAACGTACTCTGCTAAGCTTTGAAACCTAAATATTTGTTACAGCCCAGGACTACACGTCTAAATTAAAAAAATACAAATAAATGTCTTCTAATTTTTCCATTTACGAAAAACTTTTAAGAATCTCTAGCCAACTATGACGTCACTTCAAAACGTGTTATTTTTTCTTCTTTTTTTTTGTCTTTTTTTTTTCCTTTTTTAAATTTTGTATGATGTCTTTTTTAAGATTTTTTTTTTTTAAACCATGCTCGTTAAGGAAAAATTCAAGGAGCAAATACTTAAGGCTTTGTTTGTCAAAAGGGCTGTGAGGGAGGCCAATGGATGGCAGAGGCCAGTGGGTTCACCCATACACAATGCTACTCAAACCCACACTACCAGGAGACATTCATACAGAAATATTACACTTAAAAGTTACAGTGTAGAGCAATATTTTTAGCCAGTGTACATATAAAGAATCAATGCTTTTTTTTTTTTTAATTAGTTTTGTTGGTTTTTGTTTTTTTTTTAATTTCCAAACTTGGCTGTGATCATTATTGTTCAAGTATTAGTCTCGTTAATGGAGATGAGAAATTTTCTACTTTCAAGAAACTCGACTGTTAGAAAGGAAAGGTCTGTTTTGGTTCACTGAGGAGAACAAGAGGCTGAGGTTACCCAACAGTTAGTGTCCTACGGTCACTGTCCCCACTGGCTGCTGGAAGTGACGTGGGAAAGGAACAGAAGGAGTTAGGCACCACGACCCTGGGAAAAAGGGATGTTATAAATAGCTTCGCTAATTCCCAGAGAGGAGAATTGTTCCATTAAATCCGCTGTGGTGTTTTGATGGGAGAGGAATTTGGGCCTGTTGGTCCCACAGTGGCTCGTGAGTGGAGCTTTGCTTCAGATCAACCCACCTCCTGTCCCGTGGGGACTGCTGCCGGGGGGGACGGTGCCCTGCCGCTCCCCCACCCGCTCATTGCACCGGAGACGAGCTCCAGGTACGTCTCCTCGCCCTGAAATTAAATTCTAGCTACCCGAGAAGTGGCTGAACCCTTTTTTTGGAGTTGTCAGTGGGTCTGGATTCCCTTCAGATCAGGACGGCCAGACTCCTAGCAGCGAGAGGTTCAGACCAGGTTGGCTCTTAGGCTGGCGAAGGGGAAGCAGGGAAGGGAAACACGACGCAGAGAAAAGGCAGCTACTGAGGGCAGCTCTGCTGCCTACGTCCTAAAGCCACCGCTCCCCCCTCCTCCATACCCTGTCTGCAAACAAACAAACAAACAAAAGTGTCAGAAAAATCAGCCAGAGATTTTTGGCTTTGGAAAAAGTCTAAACTGAGAAACGCGGGAGTCTCGGCAAGAAACAGCTGAGAAGCTTCTTCCTGTGTTAATGCCTAAATACACACCCCTAGCTGGCTCTTTCAAACACAGGCTTCGTTTTCAATTAAACAGGCCTCTAGACAGTGCAAATGGTCAGTGTTTAATGCATTAATGAAATGGGCTTTCGAGTTGAAAATAAGCCCTGCTTCCTGACAATTCTGTTGCTCTTAATCTTCAGAGGAAACGGAGATGGAAATTTAAGCAGCTCCCTACCTCACTCTTCACGGAGCTGGTGAACAGATGCAACTGCCAAACCCTGCAGCAACTCAACATCAGTCCAGCAAGGAGCTACTGAGCAGAAGGCAAAAGCTGCACAAAGGGGGTTCTGCGGTGAGGAAACAGCTGTGGTGTGAAGTAGTGTAATGAAATTCTTGGAAACAAAAGGCATGTCAAGTATCTGAGGCAGAAAGGAGATAGAGAACATGTAAAGCAAAGCTTTTAAATATACAGTATGTCTTCTTCCAACGGTTACTATAATGATCACACAAGTTTGCAAGTTAAAAATGCCTTGCTTATTAATTAAAATTAAGACTAAACCTATAATTTTTGTCTGTGAAAGTGACTGCAGCCTATCTATACCCTGGGTGTTGAATATGAAGATTTCGACTATCGGTTGGTTCAGGTGCTCGGTTCATGGGAGGCCGATGGACTTTCCCCAGCACAGCCATGCTCTGATCTCGGAAGCAGGACTGCTGGAAGTCTCCACTTAGGTAATCCATGGTCTGCATCACATTATTCTGGCTGGATGGGCCAGCTCCAGCTCTGTAATGAGTTCCTCCCGCACAATCTAGCGGCGCTCCTGCCTGTTGTCCCCCGTGGAAAGGCATGGCGAGGTCCTGGGACCCAGAGCTGTCACTGTTGGGTGTGGGCAGGATGTTATTCCAGATGGGCTGGAAATAGTGCCCATTGGTATATGGCAAGGGTCCCTGCAACCCGTTCACGGGTGGAGAAGGTGTCGGCTTCTCGTTGGGGTGCTTCAAGGTGAATGACTGGCCCATGCACAGTTCTTGAGGGTAGCTGGATGTTTTGCCAGGAAAACTCTGCCCTGCCATCTCCCTCTGAGGGTGCTTCCCTGCGAGTCCAGCAGGCCCAGCAGCATCTCCACACATTTGCTGCAGATGCGCGAGCTGGTGCTGGTTCCACGCCAACGATTTGATTTCGTTCTGGTAGGCGGACGGCACCCTGTTGATATTCACCATGGGCACGTTAACAGAGGCAGGAGGAATAGCAGCAGCAGCATGATCTACAGGGTTTACTACACAGGAAGGCATGGGTGTAGGGACATTGTGAGTAGATACCCTGGTACTTGCATTGATAAGCAGGTTGCGACTTATAGGGCTGGGGTTTGCAATCTGTCCCTCACACACTGAGGTAGTGCTAATGCCAGCTCTGGCCTGGCAGAACTGGTTAATCTGGTGCACAATGCTGCTCAGGTCCGGTGGCTGGTTCTGCTGCAGGGTGGCAGCCATAGAGAGGGGAATGGTTGAGGTAGACACGGTCACATTCGGCGGCGCGTCTGCATCCGGCATCTTTCTGCTTCCATGCAAACCCGGCTGCAGCAGCGGGTGCTGGGGGTGCTGCAGAGGCTGGTGTGCCATGGGCTGAGGGTGCTGCAGGCCCTGCAGCTGCTGCATCTTCTGAGGGTGCGGCAGCGCCTGGGGCTGCGGGATCCCCTGAGGGTGCGGTAAGCTTTGTGGCTGTGGGATACCCTGAGGGTGCTGCAGAGCCTGGGGCTGCGGGATGCTCTGGGGGTGCGGCAAAGTCTGTGCATGCTGGAGAGCCTGCTGGCGAGCAAGCGCCTGGGGGTGGGTTAAAGTGCTCGGTGCAACGTAGGGGGTGGAAGGGGGATTCATCATCGCTTCCGGCAGCAGGCGCGTGCGCGTCCCGTCAAAGTCCTTGATGATTCCTTTCGCTGGGGATTTGACTATCGCCAGGAGGCCCGTTTTGGTGGTGGCCTGAGACGGGTAGGGACTGTACCTCTGGCCCGAAGTATCAAGTCCGTTCACAGTACGGCGTATGTGTTTCCTCTGGGGAACCTTGACACTGTTTGGAAAAATTTTTATAGTCAGTGGATTGTTGGCGACCTTCTTAGCATAAGCATCCAATTCTGCTGGGGTAGGATACTGTGCAGATCTCATTTTCTGTGTAGTGTCCCCTGTGGAGAAAGGAAATTTGTCAATACTGATTCTGGTAAGCAAGGGATCAACCCCCGGACAAGACAGCTGCACAACAAGGGCAGAGAAATCTCCAAGGAATCAAGAGGCAAGAACTTCAATCTTCCCAGACGAGCGGATTGTGCACCAGATACCTCATTCCCTTTATTACCTGGTGACCAACACAACCCCCAGTTCAGCTTAAGGCAAGACCTGCCTAGGGGAGCAAAAGGAAACCAGTGTTTTCATCAGAGCACGTTTGCAGTGGGACAAAACCAGGTAACACACTGTAAACATCAGATTGTCTCCAGCCTGAGACATTTCCCACGGCTTGCAGCGGTGGGGCTGTGGTCTATTCTCTTAATTTCAGGCTGCCTCCCCACAGCTCCTCAAGCCATTCTCAGCATCTTCACTGTGTAAATCAAAATCCGAAAGTTATGAATTAAACATTAAACCCATGTAATGCTGAGGTGAGAACCATACAAAGCACTTCAGCTCAAGCCTCCCATTTACATCCGTGTTCTTTTCTAGATGCTGACATCTGAAAGCACTTGGAGTGTCTTTTTGTCCATTAAGAAGCCCTTGTCAGTCCAAGTTCAGCAAATGGAAGGAGGAGGCTACACGTGCTTTATGGCTTGCAATTATTTCTTCAGCTGAATTTTCAGTGTGGCACCTTGCTAAGGACAACATCCTAATATCACACAGTGAAACCATGTGATTACCTCACAAGATTAAAAACATGCCATTCTCCAGACATAGACAAAAGACTTCTGGAGACAGGGGTGTGGCTTCCCTTACTCCAATTTACCAGATACCTACCTTGCCCACAAGCTCAAAGTGCTTTTGGAGAGAACTTCAGAAATCTGGGGAAGTGCTCATGCCTGTCACTAAAATGGAATTCCAACCAGAGCAAGGCTGTTCCCCTAGCTCTGCTCTGCTGCTCAACTCCTATGGGACTAGTGCTTCTGAATATACTATAAACTTCCTATACTGACTTGCAAGTTTGACAATCTGATTTTGCTTTTGTTTGATTTCTTCCCCCTGCAACTTGCAAACAGTTTACTAAAAAAAAGAAGTTCAGCATCCCTGTGCCATCTGCTGCTGTGCTGAGAGAGGGAAGACATGGCAGCCAGCTCCTCCAGAGCCCAAGAGCACACCAGCCTCACATCTGGCCCTCTGACCCAAGGAAATCTAATGCTCCAGTAAGGAGTTTGATGTTCCCAGGCAAACAGCTCTTCCTGTTGAAAACTTACATCTGATTCTTTTAAGCAATTTGCCTCCAAAAGGTTCCTGAATACAGCTCAAGTCTGAGTACCTGCCATCTCTCTCTCTGCACCCAGCATCTTCAAAGCCTTCACAGGTGAGGGGGGCACTTGCTTTCAGAGGACTCACGTTCAGAAAATAAGGGCCAGAAAACGCAAAACAGGATATCAAAAGAAAGAATCATTACAGAATATTAAAATTATATTTTGTGAAAGTAGAAGCTTTGCAAGCACATTGCCTCATGTCTCCAGGACAGCACCTACCAGGGTGTTGGTTATACTCTTACTCTCAGTGCTGCCCTGGCACACACCTCCCTGTCTCTCAACCAAACGGAATGCTCATCAGACATGAGCCTGAGCCTCCTCTACAATCAGATCCCTGTACCTGCTACAGGTGGTTTATATCTGCCCTTTTGAGTGAGCTGCTATGCACCTAACAGAGAGCGCTGGATGGATTTGCCAGTACTAATTTGCCTCAACAGCCAAGGCCTTCATGAGCTTCCTAACCTTTGTTTTAGCATCGCCCACACCCATCATGTTCTGCTTTTTCCCCAGGAGATGACCCTTGCAACTCACCATGGATCAGAGAAGAACCATCAGCAACAGACAGGGGAACCCACTGCTGTTTGTATTATTGTTTATGTTAAGGCCACTGTCACACAAAGCTTTTATTTTCAGATGAAAAATTGAAGTAGATACTTTAAGACCTTTGCCATCAACATTTCCCAGCCTGGTTTACATCTCTACAGGCATATCAGCAAATTAGGCAGTAAATGTAAGCACTAAAATATTCATTCACCCAAGCATGCATTTTTCTGTTACAGGGGAACTGTGGTGGAAACAGCAATGTTGGAAGAGGCTGTGGCCATGGGTTACAACGTATCTGTAACCCCCAGTTTGGAAGGACTCCTTCCTTCCCCTGACAAAGAGAAAATAACCCCTCAAACTGAAACGACACATCAACATAATGTTTGGCATCCTACCAAATGGCAAACCAGCTCCTAAATCCCTCTGACAGGATCTCCTGAAACCAACCACCATGTCAAACAGTGCCTGGTTTGCGTACAGGTAAGATGATGCTCCTCGTACTATGGACTAACTCAGCCCTTCTACTTAGGTCTGACCAAGGTGATGCATTTCCCAGAGTCTCAACATGCTGCTTAAAATGTGCTTTGCTAGCAGTTCCACGGGCAAGATTTGATGACTGGAATAATTAAGGCAACAAACAATTAGGAGAAAGGCATTACAGGGTGAGTAAAGAGTCTGAATAACCCATACAAATATCCTACAAATCAGTAAGGAACAACTACGTCTGGCTAGTAAGTGAATAGAAAAACAGCTTGAAAGACCAAGAGAAAATGCTGGTATTAGAATCTGTTCCTCATTTGTGTGTAAGTGCAAGAATTCTGGATTAGGCCATAAAATGACAAGGAGGATGGCAGATGAACAAGCTCCATCAATAAAATAATGGGATGAGCTTCACAAAGCTACCAAATGGTAAATGCAAGGCAGAATACTTTGGTTGAAAAGTAATTATTACATGTTTACTATAAGATAAAGCTGTGCAGTCAAGAAATTGGTAAGCTGCAAATTCACACTCTCACTAATCCCCTGGCAACCAATCCATCTGGTCACATTCCTGTGCCTGTCTCACTGCTGGAGCTAATTCTATCATGAAAGGAGATGTACTTCTCCACCTCACCTCAGCACTAATGTAACATTTTTAAAGTGCATTTTACATTAAGGATTTAAAACTCACTGCTTTTAAAACTGCCTATGGTTAAATTTTCATTAACATTAAACAAAACACAAACAGGCCTTCAGGATTCCTACCCTAATGAGAGGATCTGCACTGGGACATGTGAAAAACAGCTACTGCAGCAGCTTCTGTACATACTTGACAGAAAGAGCCCTCACCCCTAGGAAGAACATTGCCCAAATGGTCTTGCCTCAAGCATCCCAATTGACTGGTCAGGTTTATCCTGGAGTCACTGGGAGGAAGGAGAGAGTATCAATATGGAATAAGTGAGAAATTCCCTGCATGGATAAGGAGAAATTTCAGGGTTAGTCTTCCCTGTGGTGCAGACTGGGATTTAAAGAAATATACCGAAATTGGAAGTCCCAGAGTGAATAGTTTCTAAAGGAAAAAATATGTCCATGTTGATCTACAAAACTCCTACTGCAAAGACCACCCTTAAGAAAAGTGCCTCTTGTCTGTGGGTGAATAAGAAAAAGAGATAATTGAGCTAATGTTGATTTTTAAAGCATTAATAAGACATCTGATCCAGAAAACTACATTTAAAAAATTATTACTACAAACGCTAAAGACTGCATAAAGGCTACCCTGTGGAGTTCTGTGCCCCTTATAGAAGCAATAGCACTATCATTAAAGCCCGCTTCCAACCCCCATCACAAGTCACAAGTCACTGTTCATTAAAAATGCTCATTAACTCTGCTGTCCCTTGGCCAGGGGCTGGGCTACTTGTGCATATACAGTACAGAGGGAAACGCACCAATTAATCTCACACACATCTGCAGCAGGGGTGAGCAAGGTCTGCAGGAGCAGTTTCATTTTCCATAGAAATCAGAACAAACTGGAACAGCTGAGCATTACCACTGCCAGGCAGTGCCTGCCAGCTCCTTTATGTCCTAAATTCTTTCAAATGCAGCACCCGAAGCTCTTTGCTAAGCAGGATACAGCAATGCTTCCAGCACAGGGATGAGCAGTTCTCAGAAACAGCATCAGGTACCATCAGGTTAAGAGACTGCCCACATACCAGCAGGCTGCCTTGTAAACGTGTAATTAGCAAATACCTAATTTATGCACAGCTACCCTCACGTGAACCTCAACAGTGTCCCTTCAGAACTAAGCTTTCCAAGCCACCACAAGGACCTAGGTATGTTCTCACAACAGCCCACCTTCTGAATAAAGGTGTTTTGGTCATCAAAGCTCCAACTGGAAATGGAAGAGAGAAAGGAGGGGAATGCCCAGTTTCAGGCCATCTAAGGAGGTCCTTTTGTGAGTCACTGCTGTTGAAAGTGTCATTACAATTACCAAACCTGTGGAGTTGGCATAAATGCTGTTCAAGTGCTGGGGGGGGGTGGCACACGTGTGTACGTGAACAGTGTCAGGCAGGACTTTGTGTCACCCTTAACCGTAAAATTATCTCACCTATTTTCAGGAGCATCACAAGCCTTAACATATGTACAGTTTAGCTGCAACTGGACTGTAAATTACTTGGTTTTAAAGAATGAGTCCAACAGCAAACTGAGGGTAAGGAGATATGCCAATGCATGTTTCAAATACAAGAGATAGGTCACAGCCCTAAGAACCAGTAGACAGACTTGACGTGTAGAAACCTTGGTATTTCCGACATTTCAGCTGAACAATCACTGTACAACTTAGTGAGAAAGAGAAGAGCCAGAGTAAGATTTTTAAAAATCTCTAGCCAGTAAACTTACATTCCCAAGCACCAGTTTTTCTTAAAAAACACTAGTACAACTATGAAAAAAATGACTGAAGTTATAAAAACCCCAGAATTATCAGAGTACTCTGCAGATGTATTTTCAGAGGCACCAAAAAGACATCAGAAAGAAGAAGGAAACTTTAGTAATTTGGGCTGGATGACTAATATTTGCAGTACACACCCCAGGTATGTCGAACAACAGAACTGCTGACCTCAAAAGGTTTGCATTAGCCTGATCCAACTTTTATTGGTGTCTACAAGTAACTAAACAAATGGAAGTGAAAAAGAGTCAGGGAAAAGCTGTGTTAAGAAGCAAGCCAGCTGGCACACTTTTGGCACAAAAAGTTTTCAGCAAAGAGGCACGAATGTCACAGAAACCTCACTTGCATTTTGTCTTGCTGTGGTTAAAATTAACCTTTATAAAGTCAGGAAGGAGGGAGAGCTTGCTGCACACATGTGAACCTCCACAGCCATTTCTCAGAACCATTATTGACAGATGCCTTGAAGGCATAACAAAAGAAAGACTCTAACATTACATAGTTTTTCCACTGTATCCTAATGTTCATGTCACAGCTGTACCAGAGCCAGATTTAACAGTTAACCACATCCTGCAGACAAAACGTCACTCACATTTCTGAAGTCCAGTGTTCATCTGCGTGTAAGAAAGAAGCTGAAAGGAGAGGTCACCTGGTCCTGGCAGACAGGCCAGCATGGCAGACAGGCACTAACACAACATGGGGCATTCACTCCTCTGCACACTGCAACAACAGAGAGACAATTCAAAGTTATAATACAAGGAGGAACAGAGAAAAGAAAGCGGCAAAGAGCCATCCCTGGGTGAAGGCCTGACCAAGCACAGATGTGTGACCACTGCTCTGGCCCTTCCTGCATCTTGTAACAGCCACAGAAATACTTCCAGAGGTGGGTCATCTGCAGGGTTAAACTAAAGCAGCAATCCTGCTCTCCTCTTGCTGCTTGAAACAGGACAGTCCTTAACTCCATCCTCAGATTTCAAAGGTGGCTATTATGAATGGTAAAGAAACCACCACCGTTCATTTTACTACATATTGAAATGCACTGGCGATCTACCAGGAATGGCCAAAGCAAGTCCTCTGGAGAAATCCTGTCAGCTGCTCTTTCACCTTTAATAAAAAGGCACGGCATGCATAAATTGAAGGCAAAGTATGCAGCACTCTGCCTCGTGGCAAGATTAAGCTGCATGCTACAGCTTGTAATTTCTGTGGTCCATTAGGCTGAAAGATGAATGGCTACAACTTCCTTCATTTCATAGGAGACTCGCTAACCTGCCCAGCTCTGGGTCAGACCAACAGCAAGATGTGCCTTCTGCACATAGGAGCTGCAGAGCTGCCACCATCCTCTGCTGCAGAGGTTCAGACTTTAGGATCCCAAACCTCAAAATGAACACTGAGCTCTTCAGGTATCAACACTGCATGCCTACCCTCAAATCCTATCATGGGCATTCAGACACAAGAGGGGTTTCCAGCAACAAAGATAACTCAGGATCAAAGTCTCGTGATGTTACTAGTACTACAGAGAGAAACTTGAGTTGTAACAAGGTCTCTGGAGGCCACCTGGTGCAAGTCCCTGCTCAGATCTCCCTTCTGCACCTACTGAGGCAAGCTAGAGCCAGCCACGAGCACTTTGGAAAGCTCTGGGAAATGGGGTGACTGAGCCAAGCTGGAGAAATCAGCTGACTTCTCCTCCTTGCCCAGATCTCCTCAAGCTTCAGTGCCACTATACAGGCACTGTATACCAAAGCATCTATAGAACAGCTAAAAAGGGCCTGAGGTTTGTTACATGGCCCCCAAAACATGGAAAGAGCTGAAGGCTTCAAAAGTTATTGGCTGGTTTGATATGAGTCGTTGTTTCAAAACCCCAATGAAAACAACCAGGAAGGCAATGAAAGATCAAGACAGGTGAAGCAGAAAGCTCAAGAGCAGCAGAAGCCACAACTGCAGAGGCCACTTCCAAAAAAGCCTCACTGCTGAGGACCATGCAAGTGATGTGAACGGAGCACCTGGATGACACTTGACGCAGCAACGCCAGCGCTGCATCCTGGAGAGCACTACCACTTTCTGCTTCACAAAGCCCCAAAAGCCACCCTCTCTGCTGGCACACTTTTCAGACTCTAATTGGAAACCTCACCTCTGACCACTGCCACAGGTCAGGCCACCCACGGAGCACCTGCACCAACACAGCAGACTTAAAGCTTACCTGCAACAGCAATTACTGTGTGTAATTCATTAGCTCCTCATTAGCTGGCATCTCCTCAGCTCAACACACAAGGGCTGATTAAACCAACAGCCAAGATAACTCATACAAATATTAATTTATGAAAACTTCTGTATCTTCACAGTGCAAGTGCTCTCAAAAGCTGAGTGTTGCTGAGCCAGCCCGCTGGGTGCCACTGTGACTAACAATTAAGAACAATTTTGGACACTGAATGCTCCACAACTCCGTGCTACTGCCTGTTCACCCCACCCACTCAGAGTAACAGGGACTCAGGGCTGGGACAAACACACACAACCTCACCAAGCTGCAGGTCTAACAGCCCCAACACGAAGAGAATGAGTTTACATTCACTCTCTGTTTATTCCTTAAGAGACAGCAATGATCTACACTACTGTACGTTCTAGATTTGTAGTTGTAAAACCTTGCAAAAAAGGTCAAAACCTGGATTTTCTTCTCACACTCTGTGGTAGGTGGAGTTTCAGAAGGTGCTCAGAAATGATGGCTGAACAACCGTCACATTCACAACTTAAAGGAATTGCTTTAGGAGCTGAGAAGTTGCTCGACCTTTATAATGAGATTAATTCATGACTCTAAGTATGCAATGTTGAGAGAAACTTTGCTAACAGCCTGTGGGCAGCAGTTTCTTGCCCCAATTTATGCCCAGCAAGACCAAAAAGACAAAACAAGAATGCAGCTCCTTTTAATCAGAAGATAAAGCCAGTGTGAGGTGTCAGAGCTTTACCTGAGTAAGCAACGGAAACACTCAGTCAGCAAGAAAAAAAATAATAATTGTATTTTCTCTTTTTTCTCATTTCATCAACTTCAGAAGACTGGCAAAAACAAGACCTATTTCTCAGTGAAAAGCAGACAGACAAAATGAAGAGCCTTCACTTCAGTCAGTAAACCATCAGACCACACCATTCTCATATTCAGTGAAGCAGCAACCTTTCACTCCACTACTGTCTGATGCCAGCCCTGGATTGCTTCCCATCACTGCACAGCCAAAGGAGCTGGTGTTTAAAACATTCTTCAACTGAAGGCACGTTTGTGCCCCCCAAAGAGAAAAGTGCTCTGCAGTGCAGCACTGCTCCCACTGTGTTCTGGGACTGAACAAGGGCTGCTCCTGACAGCGAGATATGAGGAAGGTTTGCTCACCCGCTCCATCACCAACATTCATTACAGCCTGAACACTGTGACTCTGAGCAAAGCTCTTGCTGAAGTGCCATGGAAAGGCTCAGCAATAAACAGGATAATGGCACATTAGGAGAGAGAACAAGTGACTAAGAGTGGTCACAGCATTCAACTTGGAATAGCCAGGCTCCTGTGACAAGGCAGCCCTGCTTCTTTGAAGGTCAAAACATGTATTTACAGAAGCTTTAGTTCCAATATAGAGAGTAATGTTTTAGAGAGGGCTATAAAGGCAAGTTGTTCCTGCAGACAGATAATCATTTTAGGCAATGCCAAAGGTTCATAAAAGACTGAGGTGGCAGTAATCATTTTAAAGGAAATACTGGAGGTACAAAAATTACTTTAAGTAGAAGCATAAAATAATTCTTTCAGCTTGATTTGCAATAACCACATTGATGCCATCTAGGTCACTGCTGAGCATTAAAAAAAGAAATTCAGACATACAGAGAAGTGCTGACCATAACTCCATTGCTGAGTTCCATATTATAATTAAAATCCCACTCCAATTTTTATTCTCTATGAAATTGATATGGTTTTTCAAAATCAAGATCTCAGGATGTGAAAACAAATGCACTTGAAATGTCTTTACAAACAAGCACATTATTTTATGTTTTTTTGTTAGAAATTAGCTAACATTTATTCCCTTTGAGATATCAACATCTCACAACTTTCTGCTGCAACTGATCTTCAGCATCAGCCAGCACAGAAAACTCCAACATACCACCCATTTAAAATGAACCAAAATCCCCTGCAGGGACCATGTTTGGGGTTGAGGTGAGCATCAATGGTTGTCCCAAACTGTGGTTCTGCACAGGCTCAGGTCAGCAGCACAGGGTCCTGACACAGAGGCAGATGGGCCCATCATCCCCTCCTGAGCTTGGCTTTATTGCTTCTCATTAGCCCAGAGCAGGAGAGAAACTGAACTTGGCACATCAAGACTTCTCGTCAGCCGACTTGGCTCCACAATAGCAACTTGTGTGGGCATCAGCACCTGCAAAGCTCCCCATGGGGCTGCTGCCCTAAGCCCTCTGAGGACGAGTGGTGTGGTACTGGGTGAACTGGGACAGACACCGTGAATCAGGAAACGAGGGGGTTTTTTTGCACTGTACACAGCTCACTAACACCAAACCAGTCAGCTGCAAACTGGAGAGCAAGCTGACCAGCAGGCCCTGGCACCCCGCAATGCAGGGCAGCTGTAAACCCCTTACCTTTTAAACAGTATATTAAACTGATTCTGTACACTGCCAAACAGCATAATGAGCTTTGTCTTGAAAACATATATATAAAGATACAGCACATTCCCAGAGGAAAACAATCTTTAGATTGGAATAAATAAATACATACCCCTCTTTGAAGTGATTTTAATCTAATCTGGCTGCAGGATATAATCTTAGCAGCACACGTACGGATGCTCTATAAAGCAGCAGGTTTAGACACATTAATAGATATTTTTTTCTCCTAAGATTTATTAATAATTAAATCAAAGCATGATAAGCTTAAGAGGTATTTGCAGTGCTTGGGATTTGGGGGAAAATGTCACATCCCCACAATAACTGTCACATTCAGCCTTACCTGCATATCAGGGTGGTGTTTGGTCCAGGCAGCACAGTGATTTTCAGAGCAAGTTCTGTCTCCACCAGGGCACATTGGAGAGGATGAAGAGCTCACCTCCACCCATTGCCCTGGGACACACTCCCCCCTTTGAGCTAAGAATCCATTCCAGCAACACTTACCTCTGGACTAAAAGGATGTATTATTTTCTGGCTGATATTCAGAGTTTAGTATCACCTCTGACAGAGCCACTGCTTCTCAGGCCAGGAGGGACTTCTACAAGCCAGAGTAAAACCTGGGTGTAAAGTAACTTGGTACTACTAGGAAATTTCTAATACTCTAACACAGCTTTATCATTATATAAACAGACCACAATATGCAGAGTTATTGCCAAGTTTTAAAATATGCCAGTCTCTCAAGGTCCCAAGAGGCCTTACAGGGTAAAAGCACAAAGGAAACCCACCCCACAAACCATCCCCAGCCAGTGAAATATGGGAAACTGAGCTGGTTTGGCTGAAAAGGAGCTGGTGAAGCTTAAAGTTGGGTTCCTGAAAGTAAACACGCATGTTTGAAATTCCACGATTAACTGCAGGCTTGTTCACAGAGCTCGGGGCTGGGAGGAAGCAGGAGCATCTACCCACACACAAAAGAAAAGCTCCAAACTATTCCAAGTTTCCAGCACCCCGGGGTCCCGTGAGCCGTGCGAGGGTTGTTAAGCGCTCGCGGTGACTGACACGCTTGGCTTCTCCTCGTTATTCACAAGGTA